GAATGACTATAAACAGTAAGCAAGAATGAAATAGTGATACAACTCCTAGTCCAACAATCTTGGTCTCGGATGAGTTTCTTGAGTTCCTTCAATATCATAAATCAACGAAGGAATCTTCTTCAGTTACTACTTTTGCTGGGTCAGATAAGACATGTCTTATCATCTCTTCAAATAAATGGGTGATTGATTCAGGTGCCACAAATCACATGACAGGTAATCCAAATATTTTTTCTAGCTTTCGATCACACAATGCACCCTCTTCAGTTACTGTAGCTGATGGAACAACTTGTAGCAGTGTTGGATCTGAGACTGTTAAACTAACTTCATCTATTACCTTGTCATCTGTATTAAGTCTACCAAACTTGGCCTTTAATTTGATTTCTGTTAGTAAAATCACTAGAGACCTTAATTGCTGTGTAGCGTTCTTGAATGGGAGCCACAGTCTATTGCATGCTCCAGTATCGTGTCTCCTTTTGAAGAACATTATCGATTGGGGCATCCCTCTATGACTTTGTTGAAGAAGCTCTGTCCTCAGTTTCAGAATATTTCTTCTTTGGATTGTGAGTCATGTCGATTTGCAAAACATCATCGCATCTCGTTAGGTTCAAGGGTTAATAAGCAAGCTGAGTCAGCTTTTGAGTTAGTTCATTCTGATGTTTGGGGACCATGACCTGTTGTTTCTAAAACTGGGCATAAGTATTTTGTCACTTTTGTAGATGATTTTTACCGGATGACTTGGATTTACTTTATGAAGAGTCGCTTTGAAGTGTTTACTCACTTTTCTGCCTTTTGTGGTGAAGTCAAAACTCAATTCACTGCTCAGTGCGTATTCTAAGGAGTGATAATGCTAAAGAATACATGTTAGAGTTATTTCAGTCCTACATAAGACAACATGACATACTACATCAATCTTCATGTATTGATACACCCTCTCAAAATGGAGTTGCTGAGAGGAAGAATAGGCATCTACTTGAGACAGTTCAGGCACTTTTGTTCCAAATGAAGGTTCCTAAATAGTTTTGGGCTGATGCGGTCCTCACGACTTGCTTTCTGATTAATCGCATGCCATCTACTATGCTCAGTGGCAATATGCCTTACAGTGTTTTTTTCCAGACAAGTCATTATTTCCCGTGGCACCTAAGGTGTTTGGAAGCATATGTTATGTTTGAGATGTTCGACCATCTGTTACCAAGTTGGATCCCAAGGCATTGAAGTGTGTTTTTCTTGGTTATTCTCACCTTCAGAAGGGGTATCAGTGTTATTCTACTGAACTTGACAAATATCTGGTGTCAACTGGTGTAGTGTTTTCAGACACTATAACATTCTTTTATGCACCTCCCATCTCTACAAGTTAAGGGAAGGAGGATGAGTGGCTAGTATATCAGGTTACTCGTACTTTGACAGAACAATCAGATAATGTTTCTCTATCTCCTAGCTCTTCTATCGAGCACCAATTGACTATTGTGCCTTCAACACCTGCTCCAACTGTGTTAGTAAGATCACCAATTGTTCAAGTTTACTCGCAAAGGGGAGCGACAAATGATACAGGTCCTACACTAGTTCCTTCGTCACTTGATCCTCTTCCGTCTGATCCTCCAGAAGACCTTGACCTTCCCATTGCTTTACGTAAAGGTACATGTACTTGCAAATCCACATATTCTATTGATAATTTTATTTTCTACGATCACTTAGCCCCTGTATCTAGATCTTTGATTGCGTCTCTAGACTCCATTTCTATACCCAAAACAGTGAAAGAGGCTTTGAATCATCCTGGATGGTCTGAAGCCATGCTTAAGGAAATACATGCCTTAGAGGAAAGCCATACTTGGGATTTAGTGAATTTACCTAGTGGAAAGAAAGCAGTGGGATGCAAATGGGTCTTCACGGTCAAAGTTAATCCAGATGGTACTGTAGCGAGACTTAAGGCCAGACTTGTGGCCAAAGAGTATGCTTAGATATATGAAGTGGATTATTCTGACACCTTCTCTCTGGTTGTCAAACTTACTTCTGTCCGCTTGTTCATTTCTCTAGCAGCTTCTGAAAATTGGCATTTGCATCAATTGGACATTAAGAATGCCTTTCTTCGTGGTGATCTTTATGAAGAGATGTATATGGAGCAACCACCTGGTTTTGTTGCTCAGGAGGAGTATGAGAAGGTCTGTCATTTGAAAAAGTCTTTGTATGGCTTGAAGCAGAGTCCCCGGGCTTGGTTTGGAAAATTTAGTGAGGTAGTTCAAGAATTTGGGCTGAAAAAGAGCAAATGTGATCATTCAGTCTTCTACAGGCAATCAACAACTGGATCTATTCTCCTGGTTGTATATGTTGATGACATTGTTATTACAGGAAGTGATTATGCAGGAATCTCTTCTCTCAAGTCTTTCTTTTATACTAAGTTTCATACAAAAGACTTGGGACAACTGAAATATTTCTTGGGAGTAGAAGTAAATAAATGCAAGAAGGGAATTTTTCTATCTCAGAGAAAGTATATTCTTGACTTACTGACAGAAACTGGTAAGTTGGCTGCCAAGCCTTGCAGTACTCTAGTGGTTCCTAACTTGCATCTTATGAAAGATGATGACGAACCATTTAATGATCCAGGTAGATACAGGAGGTTAGTTGGGAGATTAAACTATCTCACTATGACTCATCCAGATATTGCTTTTGTTGTAAGTGTTGTTAGCCAGTTTATGTCTGCTCCTACGGTCAAACATTGGGCAGCACTAGAGCAGATTCTATGTTACTTAAAAGGAGCCCCTGGACTTGGCATATTATACAACAATAATGGGCATTCTCATATTGAGTGTTTTGCAGATGCCGATTGGGCTGGATCCAAAATTGATAGAAGGTCTACTACCGGCTATTGTGTCTTTGTGGGTGGAAACCTGGTATCATGGAGAAGTAAGAAACAAAATGTTTTATCTCGATCTAGTGCAGAATCCGAATACAGGGCTATGGCACAAACTACGCGTGAGGTTATGTGGATACATCACCTTCTCACGGAAATTGGGATAAAGCATACTACACCGGCAAAACTTTGGTGTGATAATCAAGCCGCTCTTCATATCACCTCAAATCCGGTGTATCATGAAAGGACAAAACATATTGAAGTTGACTGTCACTTTATTCGTGAGAAGATTCAGGAAAACTTGATTTCTACTAGTTACGTGAAGACAGGAGAGCAATTGGCNAAAGACATGAGAGCAATTGGCTGATTTATTCACAAAGGCGTTAAATGGAACTCGAGTTAATTATCTCTGCAACAAGCTGGGCATGATTAATATCGATGCTCCAGCTTGAGGGGAAGTGTTAAAGAATGAATGCAGACATAAATAATGAATATAGACAGATTACTTGTACTATACATAGATAGAAAAACATTGAGATTTGATAGCAGATTTTTAGGATTTTTCTTTTACTTCTTTTCATAGTTAGGATCCTATGTACAAGTATATATATGTATCACTTCATGGAATAAGACACTAACTTTGATTCTTTCATATCTTGTTTGTCACATGGTTTTAATATACCTTCCTTTCATTTGAACTATGCGTGCAACATCCTTTTCAAACAAGATTCTTGCAATTTTTCTTTTCAAAGAAAGATCACACGTTTCTTGGATGTGTTGATTCATCGATCTTAATAAAATATATTCTCAATTTGCTTTAAAGATTTTATTATTTTTGCGTGATTTCAAAAGGTGACAATAATAATTTATTTTGTTGAACGATATGATACATCCACAGTACACAAAATTTTTGTCTATAATTGAGTTTTATATAGATCAGACAAATATCTTATATTTACATGTCTAGTATTTTTAAATATGATTCATTTGAACAAAGAAATATAATATCAAGTAACCATCTTGTGGATGTATTACTTAAGACTTATAAAATATCCAGATAATCCTCATCACTGGTATATATATATATATATATATATATATATATATATATTCACTTTGTATATATTTCTGAATTACAGAAAATTTTAATCCAAACTGTAATATTCTTATTAATCTTTCCTTTGAGTTAAGATCCTTTTCTTTCCAACTTTCTTAAAGAAATAAATAAATCAATGAGTGACATTGAATTTGTGCTCTTAAGTTTTTTGTAAATTTTGAAATACAAGTTTTAGTATAAAGGCCATGCAATTGAAATTTACTATACATACGTACCATTATATTAAGGGCACTTATTTATGTCATTTAAGGTGCTCATAACTAGATAATGTTAATACACATTGTTATTTCACATTTTATTCTATTTAAAATACCATATAAATTCTTGCATAGTTATACGTATATCATTCGTATGAACAATAGAATTAGTAACTGACCAATTAGTTTTCCAAAGGCCAAACACCCAATTAATAATGCATAATTTTTATAAACGATATTACTACTAGGAGTATTAAAATGGGATATATCTCAAAAAGGGAAAAGAAAATCAAAACACGGATCGGGTCGGGTTTATTGACTATGGGGTTATCTAGAAATTGGCTCCATATTACCGTTCAAAAATTTCAAATTCCTCTCAAACGGTCTCCTCCTCCTCTCTACATTCAAAATCTAACT